GAGATTAACATCTCGCGCGTGATGGCTCCATCGCAAAACGCCGCATCGCGTCAGCCGTCGACCTGAGATCATCGCCAAAGACGCTACACGACATGAGTAACAACGCGCGCAATGTGACTTGCGCCGCCCGAGATACGATCACAACACTAGGATCCATTGAAAACCTCCATCCTGACCCACCTGGACCAATACTGCCACCCTCTGACCCCCTCTACCATCACCCTAGACCACCTGACGCATGATGCCACCCCTGACAACCTACTACCCATTCAACTTGACCCCTCTACCACCCTAATACCTGATCATCGTCCCTGACCCCTGGTCCATTCACCATCATCGTCACTGTACCACTGGTCACCACCACGACCATCTCTCATACTCATTATCTCTCATTATCTCTATAGCTCCAGTGACACGCCGCTTCAACGATGACCCTCCGATCGTTCCAGTCTTCCCACCTACGCATCAGCGTCTTGCCTCGCACCCCGCCTCCCGCCGCACTTCGGCACGGCAATCATCAACCGCTACAAGATCCGATACAAGCCGTCGCGGCGGCAAGCGCGGCGAGACGGGACGACGGACGCAACCGCTCGTGTACGCGCTCGAGCAGGCTGCAGCGCGGCGCGCCGTCCCCTACGCCGTGCGCAGCTCGGCGATGACGTCACGGCACGGGGCGGCGACCGTTTGCTCGTCGCGGAGACGTTCACGAACGATCTCGACGAGTCGACGGTGCGCGGCCGAGCCCGATCGACTACAGCAACGGCGCTACCGACGACCACGTTACGGTGAGTGTGGTGTGGTGTGTGTGCGTCGTGCGTGCGTACTCGTCGCGTGTGTGTTTTAAATTACGAAAGTTAGATCGTGAGTCTACTTAATTAGTACATAAACTACCGACACCCCAACCGACACCACGATCATGGTGAGTGTGGTGTGTGCGTGTGCGTCGTGCGGTGTGCGTGTGCGTGTGCGTGGCGTGTGCGGCGCGTGCTGTGTGTGGTGAGTGTGTGATGGTGTTTAAATGTACGAATATTGATAGTGATCTACTAATTAGACTGAGTTAAAAACTACCGACACGCCACCGCACCACCGAGCTGTGACGTGTGTGTGTGGTGTGCAGTGCGCAGCTTGTGAGTGTGTGGTGTTGTGTGTGTGTTGTGTGTGTGTTAAATGTACGAATAGTTAGATAGTGAGTTCTACTTAATTAGTACTAGTTAAACTACCGACACGCCACCGACACCACGATCATGGTGAGTGCGTGTGCGTGTGTGTGTGAGTCGTGTGTGTGTGTGTGGTGTGTGAGTGTGTGAAGTGTGTGTGTGTGTGTGTGTGTTTAATGTAAACGAATAAGTTAGACTAGGAGTCAACGTAATTAGTACTAGAACTACAGACACGCCACCGACACTACAACGATTCATGGTGAGTGCGTGCTGCTGCTGCGCCGATAGTTAGGCGATGAGTTCTACTTAATTAGTACTAGTTAAGCCACTGACACGACGATCACTGTGAGTGAGTGAGTGTGTGCTGCGCAGGGGCTAATTGTACGAATAGTTAGACAATGAGTTCTACTTAATTAGTCCGAGTTTAGCCACGGACCACGTTCACGGTGTGTGTGTGTGTGCTGTGGGGGGTAAATTAGCAAGTAGATCGAGATAGATAGACATATGTGAGTTGTGTATATGTGATGTCGTTGTCGTACGTCCATGTTTTGGATTCAACAGCTCATGACGTTTTCCAAAATTGTATGATTTTGAGTTCATCTTCAAAAAAAGGAACGAAAATGCATAATCCCAACTTTTTCACTATACTACAATTGTTAGTTAAACCATTGTATCGCGTTAACTAAAATCTGCACATAGCAGCAAAAATCTTTGTAACCTTTACGTAACCTATTATGAGGCTTGCTCAAGGGAAATGCCATAAGTGGTCTGTCATTCCGGCTACGATTTCAAGTTAATTCATAAATGTGTACAATCAGACGTGTACACATGTACATTAGGTGCACTCAAGGTAAAAACGCCAAACAGTCACGACTGGCTATATTGCAAAATTCCCTGTACCACATTTCCTCATCGGTCGTATGCTAAATTTTTACGTGTTAGTTGTATCAGTTGTTGCACGATATAGTGGCATCTAAATATAACACAATCAGTTAGACAATAGATTCTACATAATAATTATTGTTGTATAGTAATAAGTTGTATAATGTGACCTTCACTGTCACCTTCACTTATGTTTTGTCGGCTCTTGTTACACTTGTACTTACACAACTCGTGTTACACTTGTACTTACACAACTCTTGTTACACGTGCACGTTGTAAATAACACGGCTTTTGTTAACACGAGCCACTGTAGCTTACACAAATCTTGTTACCCTTGATACTTCGTACATACACGTGCTTTTGTACACGTGCACTTGTACTTACACAACTCTTGTTACACGTGCACTTGTACATACACGGCTTTTGTTACACGTGCACTTGTACTTACACAACTCTTGTTACACGTGCACTTGTACATACACGGCTTTTGTTACACGTGCACTTGTACTTACACAATCTTGTTACACTGCATTGCAGCATACATGGCTTGTTACACGTGCGGCTTGTACTTACACAAACTCTATTACACGTGCACTTGTACTTACACAACTCTTGTTACACGTGCACTTGTACTTACACAACTCTTGTTACACGTGCACTTGTACTTACACAACTCTTGTTACACGTGCACTTGTACTTACACAACTTTGTTACACGTGCACTTGTACTTACACAACTCTTGTTACACGTGCAGTTGTACTACACAACTCTTGTTACACTTGTACTTACCACCAACTCCTTGTTACACTGTAACTTACACAACTCCATTGTTACACTTGTCTTAACACAACTCGAGAGAGAGAGAGAGCGCGCGCGCGAGAGAGAGAGAGAGCGCGCGCGAGAGAGAGATAGAGAATGAGAGAGAAGGAGAGTGCGATGACGTGTGAGCGAAATATAAGAAAAGAGAGAGGCATTCGGGCATCGCAATGACAAACGCAGTTATATTTGAGAATCCACGAAAAAAAGGGAATAGTATTAACAGCGCACACTGCTTGCATGCATCTCGAGTTGCTATAACTAGATATTGGCAAACGGTGGGCATAAACGAAATTACGGTGAACATGTATGACGACACACAATACTCAGCGTCATACACAACCTTTAACCAAACACGTTTGGTAACGTTTTAACCAACGAGTTTCTTTGGTATTTCCAAGTAAGCCGCGAGGCATTCTTCCATTAAAGCAGCCAGCGCTGGTAGAGATTACCAACGCCTTGAGGTGGCGTGACATTTTGTGACTGATGTAAACTGTACGGCTCATCAATTTCAGCGGAAGGAGATCGGAACGTGCGACAGAAGACAACATGACGCAGCCTGCACCTGTGCGTGGTAGAGAGGTAGTGAGGGGTGGAGAGGTAGCAGCACAGACAGCGTCGCACTCTCTCCTATACTAGACACATACATACACACATACACACACACATACACACACACACACACACACACACACACACACACACACACACACACACACACACACACACACACACACACACACACACACACACACACACACACACACACACACACACACACACACACACACACACACACACACACACACACACACACACACACACACGCACTCACCGTGATCGTGGTGTCGGTAGCGCGTAGCTGTATCGACTCGGGCTCGCCCGGCACCGTCGACTCGTCGAGATCGTTCGTGAACGTCTCCGCGACGAGCCAATCGGTCGCCGGCCCCGTGCCGTTGACCGTCATCGCCGAGATGCGCACGGCGTAGGGGGCGCCGCGCTGCAGCTGCTCGAGCGCGTACACGCGCCGGTTGCCGTCCGTCGTCACCGTCTCGCCGCGCTTGCCGCCGCGACGCTTGTAGCGGATCTTGTAGCCGGTGATGATGCCGTTGCGAGTGCCGGCGGGAGGCGGGTGCCAGGAGACGACGATGCTGGTCGAAGACTGGACATCGAGGGTCACGTTGACCGGCGTGTCGCTCGGTGCTAAAGAGATAGAGAGATAAAGAGATGTAGAGATAGGGAGATAAAGAGATGTAGAGGTGTAGAGATGGTTAGTGGAGGTGACCAGTGGTCATGAGACGACGATGCTGGTCGAAGACTGGACATCGAGGGTCACGTTGACCGGCGTGTCACTCGGAGCTAAAGAGATAGAGAGATAAAGAGATGTAGAGATAGAGAGATAAAGAGATGTAGAGATATAGAGATAGAGAGGTGTAGAGATGTAGAGATATAGAGATAGAGAGATAAAGAGATGTAGAGATATAGAGATAAAGAGGTGTAGAGATGTAGAGATGGTTAGTGGAGGTGACCAGTGGTCATGAGACGACGATGCTGGTGGAAGACTGGACATCGAGGGTCACGTTGACCGGCGTGTCGCTCGGAGCTATAGAGTGATAGAGAGATAAAGAGATGTAGAGATATAGAGATAGAGAGGTGTAGAGATGTAGAGATATAGAGATAGAGAGATAAAGAGATGTAGAGATATAGAGATAGAGAGATGTAGAGATGTAGAGATATAGAGATAGAGAGATAAAGAGATGTAGAGATATAGAGATAGAGAGGTGTAGAGATGTAGAGATATAGAGATAGAGAGATCAAGAGATGTAGAGATATAGAGATAGAGAGGTGTAGAGATGTAGAGATGGTTAGTGGAGGTGACCAGTGGTCATGAGACGACGATGCTGGTGGAAGACTGGACATCGAGGGTCACGTTGACCGGCGTGTCACTCGGAGCTATAGAGATAAAGAGAGAAAGAGATAGAGAGATCTAGAGAAAGAAGTATATAGAGATGGTCAGTGAAGGTGACCAGTGGTCAGGAGACACCAATCCTGGTCGAAGACTGCACGTCTAGTGTTACGTTGACGGGCGTGACGCTCGGAGCTATAGAGATAGAGAGATAAAAAGATATAGAGATGGTCAGTGGTGGTGACCAGTGGTCAGGACGATGATGGTGGTGACCAGTGGTCAGGAACCGTGATCAGTATTTAGGGTGGTAGGGGGTCAGGGTGAATGGTAGAGGGTCAGGGGTGGCATATGGTCAGGTGGTCAGGGTGGATGGTAAGGGGTCAGGGGTGGCATATGGTCAGGGTGGATGGTAGGGGGTCAGGGTGAATGGTAGAGGGTCAGGGGTGGCATATGGTCAGGTGGTCAGGGTGAATGGTAGAGGGTCAGGGGTGGCATATGGTCAGGTGGTCAGGGTGGATGGTAAAGGGTCAGGGGTGGCATATGGTCAAGTGGTCAGGGTGGATGGTAGGGGGTCACGGGTGGCATATGGTCAGGTGGTCAGGGTGGATGGTAAAGGGTCAGGGGTGGCATATGGTCAGGTGGTCAGGGTGGATGATAGGGGGTCAGAGGTGTCAGGTTTTCATGGATCCTTGTGTGATCTATCTCGCGTGCGCAGTTACATTGCGTCGCGTGTACTCACTGTCCGTGTAGGTCTTTGCGATGATCTCAGGAGAGCTGACGCCGATGCCGTTGCGGTTGGAAGCCATCACGCGGAAGATGTACTCAGTGTAGGCCTTCAGGTCGAGGAACTGTTGTTCCATGAGCTTCACATCAACAATGTTCTCCGCATCGCTGTCCACCTGTGTGTGCAGAAACATCGTGAACCAAGGGCGTAGCCAGGAATTTGGATTGGGTGGGGGGGGGGTCCTTGAGCGAGTAACAAGAACCTCAGGTGGTCTAAAATTATTTTTTTTAGTTAAATGTAAAAATAGTGCTTTAAAAGCATTTTTTTGAATACGGTACTAAAAATATATAAGGCCTATCTGATAATTAAAATTGTAATTAAATTTTTTTTAACGAGGCCAGGATTACGCTACGCGCTTTTAAGAGAAGAAGAAAATAGAGAAAAAAAACTTTTATTTTTGATTTTGATTTTGATTGGGGGGGTCCTAAGGCCCCCAAGACCCCCCCCCCCTGGCTACGTGCTTGTGACGTAAACGTCGAAACAAGTGAACAGAGAGAGCTTAGAGAATGTTTAACGCATGGTTACGGAATGGTTAGAGCAACTCGATCTACCGAATGATCAGAGTGAGCTTAGAGAATATTTAGAAGGAGGTTACAGAATGTTTAAAGCAAGGTTACAGAATTATCAGAGCAAGGTTACAGAATGTTTAGAGCAAGCTTAGAGACTGTTTAGAATGAGTTTACAGAATATTTAGAGAGAGAGTACAGAATGTTTAGAGTGAGTTTACACGATATTTAGAGAGAGCTTACCGAATGTTTACAGAGCTAACCGAGAGTTTACAGAATGCTAAGAGAGCATTTAGCAATGATCCGGGTAGTGTTGAATTGTGTGGAGGTCAATTAGGTTTAAATATTCAGCTGGGTAAGGGTTTAGTTCGATTTTAATGTTGAATTACATGTTGTAATATGCATATCATAAAGAATTTTGGCCTCTTAGGAACTAGGCAACCTGCAGGGAAATCGAATGAAAGGGTAATTAACATTATTATAAATATCAATATTATATGAGTACACGGTTATATACACGTACACGGCACAAATCGTTTATTACTTTAGTATTGGAAATTTTGCTTATAAGAACCAGTCTTGTTTAGTCGTGAATGTTTGTTCCCCTGCCTGCATGTGCTATCACGAGTTTTGCAATCAAGGACGTTAGGATTTCTCATCGACTACGTCTATCTCTAGCGTGCGTCCTCACGCGTCCACGCGTGCCACGCCTCTCACGTGATCGCACGGCCATTCTCACCTCCGAATACGATATCCTGTAACCCGTGACGTTGCCGGTGGCGAACTCTGGTGGCTGCCACGTGATTCGCATAGAGTACGGCGAGGTGGCTCGCACTCTGACGCTGCGCGGCGCGCCGGGAAGGTGCACTGAAACAATAGAACACGCTTCGTGAAAATGGCGGACGCGTATGGCAGGGATTTTTTTTTAGCAAACACTAATGACACAATTCGGTGTTTCCTTTTTATCGTGGTACAACCATGGTATATATAATAATTAATATAGTATGCTCGAGATTCTATCATGCTATAATGTTTTAAGATCTTAAGAACTCATAATTTGCTAAACACCAGAAAATTAGCCCCTGAAAGGTATCTAGAGGGTAAGATCGAGGGGCCGCTGCACCCATTACATTCTAGAGTAAAATAAAGGTCAAATAAACGTATAAATAGCCCTACAATCAGTGCAAATTATCATGTAGACATTAATGGAACTCCCATCCCACGGCCAGCACTGCCACACTTTGCACGTTGAATGGGATCTGCACCCACTCCCTCATCCCTACTCTGCCAAGTCTAGAAATCTTACCACTCCAATGTATTTTCGCAAGCAACAAGCCCTAGGGTTGGTTGTCAAAAACATGAAGTTATAGGAGTAAAGTTAATGGTTCTAATACTACGTGATTACTAATATAATTAATGTTACAACATGAGAAAAGCGTTGACAGAAACACGTCACAGCTGCGAGTTAACTTATGTTAACAGGAACTAATTTGCTGTCATAAGGCTGCTAATTGGATGAAAATCGATCACAGAACGTCAATTAAAATACATTTATTGTGCGTAACTAAAGACATATTTAAATTATGGGACTTAATCACACGTGTATAAATAATGACTGATGAAAAAATGACATAATTGTGTTTTTATGCTGCAATGCAAGCTGCGGTATCACAAACTGACAAAATCATCAAAACATCAGTACCAAGATAGCAATTGCCACTTTTGTGAACGTTTGTTTTGATAGTTACAAGAAATGTATTGAATACAGTGGGACTTATACGAAAAATCACTAGTATTTTTCATTCACATAAATTTACGATTCCTGCAGATCTATCTACGAGAATAAGCTGTTACTAACGTTAAGTCGCGTTAACATAGCACGTTTAACGTTAAAAATACTTCTACTTCGTATTTACTACTTATTTACTACTTATTTACTACTTACTACTATTTACTACTTCGTATTTACTACTTATACTTCTTCTTCTTCTTCTACTACTTTCTACTTCGTAGAAGTTCTACGACCCATGTACGGTGGGTGGGTGGCCGTGTCTGCGGTGATAGGCTGCTCTCACCGATACCCACCAGTATACCCATAGTAGGCTACACCTTATACTTGAAAAATAACATAGCTACACAATACTTGGTTTAACATACGTAATTTTGTTAGGTTCGTATAGTTGAAAAATAACATAGCTACACATTACTAGGTTTAACATACGTAATTTGTTGGGGTTCGCATAGGAATATATCTAGGGAATATATGATAGGAATATACGATAGGAATATACTATAGGAATATACTATAGGAATCATAGGAATATACTATAGGAATCATAGGAATATACTATAGGAATATACTATAGGAATATACTATAGGAATATACTATAGGAATCACAGGAGTATATCATATAGGAATGTATACTAAAAACATCTCTCTGACTCCGGCTGCTCTAGCGGATATACCCACCCTCTGGCTGCGTGTGTATGCTGATGGTGGCAGACGTGTCGCCGGGACCGTTGACGTTGTAGGCGATGACTCGGAAGATGTACGGCGTCCCCGGCAACAAGTCGCTGATCTCAGCCTCTGCCGTTGCCACGTCCGTCACGTTGTGCACGCGCTCTCTGTAACGTGGCAACGAGACGTCGTCATGACAACACACTGCATTAGGGCATGGGTTCCTAAATTGACTACGTCACGAATTTCCGGTGTATATTTTTTAAAATTTTGTTGCCATTTTTTTACATTATTAAAAGTAAGTACTAACGGGACTAAATGTATCGTCAAATTCTTACCTGGTCGGATTGTTTCTCAACTAGTTAAAAATCCAAAAAACCTGGACGATTTGATATTATGATCCTGACATTAATTGCTTGCAATGGGCTATGTATGAGTCACGAGTGTATGTTTACATCGAATATTATAGTAAAATAGGAAGTATAATGCAGCAATTTAACCATAAAAAGTGAACAGAATTACTTACATTTTGTGAAAAAGAGGAAATGCTTTTTTTACTTTTACTATTTACGGTGAGGTAATCACTTTAACCTGTGGTCCATAGACCCCTTTGGGGTCCGTGGATGGACTTCAGGGGGTTCGTGAACCCCACTGTATGCGAAATTTTGTGTTTATGTGCTTATGTGCATTTGTTCTGGGGAGGGGTCTGTAGCTTTACCCGGATTCTCAAAGGGGTCCATGACTCAAAAAAGGTTAGGAACCACTGACCTACAGCAATAAGGTACTAGCTGCATTAGAGGATGCTGTAGGGACAACGTGGGATGTTTGAAGCAGAAATGAAGATGGTTAGGAAACCAGTCGGGGAGACCTTGCAAAGGATAGACAGCAACGGAGAGCTGTGGAGCCACCGTGGTCTAAAAGAAGTATGGCTGGATGAATGCATGGATGGATGTACTATAATACTCTGCATCTCACTCGCTGTCTACATTCTGAACAGACATTGCTAAGCGCACTACCACCGGTGTGTAAAACTTTGCGTGCAAATTTTACTCGACTGTATTTCGTTTCGTCTAAAACTAGGAGCAAGCTGAAATAGGGGGGATGAGGAAAATCTCGTTTTTAATTTTTTATTTTCAATCCGGCTTGAAACATTTCACTTGATAATTTTGAATTCTAGATTTCTTGAGTTCGCCAGGCTAAATCCCGCGCGGAGATTTCTAATATCAATAATCTCAGAAGTTTTCGCATTGCGGATGTTGGAATTATACGGCAAATAACGCCGTAATAGAAACTGCCAGCCAGGAATTAGATGCAATCGATCGCAGCAGTAAATGATATATAAACTGCCGACTTTACACACAGATATGAACGCCGGTCAAAGACTCGCCCGCCGATTAATTTTTTCGACCGGAACTCCGTTTTCTGTCAACCATTTCTGTGAAAACAAGTCCACCAAGATGCCCCCCGTAGCAATTCTTGTGTGAACCTTCCCCGTGACGTTTGAGAGTCAAGGGGCGTGTACAGGGGGGCGGTGTCCAAGGGGTCCGGACCCCCCCTGCTCGCGCAGAAAACGCATCTAAGGGGGTCTAATTTGAAAAAATTTCTGAGGGAGGGCCCCAGACCCCCCTTCGCGTGCTCGCAAGTTGGGGTTACGGTTAGACCCCCCCTCCTGGTACAAATCCTGTACACGCCCCTGGAGTCAGTCCATACGAATCACAGATGCTTCCTCTATTTAGAGAGAGGGTTAAGGAGAGATGGAGGAAGAGAGGGAGGGCTACGGATTGAGGGAGGGAATGAGGAAGGGGGACGGGAGGAAGGGAGGAAGGGAGGACGGGAGGACGGGAGGAAGGGAGGAAGGGAGAAGGGAGGACGGAAGAAAGGGTTAGGGAGGGGGAGAGAGAAAGAGACAGAGGGTCAAATGTGCTAGGAAGTGCAAACATATGGGGGAGGGGAAGACTGTGTTGACGATAACGATGTGACACCCCCTGTGTGCGCGTGCCAAGCAATGTTCATAGGATCTATGTGCCCCAGGGTACTGTCGGAACGTACCCTGGTAACTATCTGATATGGTTAGGGTTAGGGCTAGGGTTAGGGTTAGGGAATAGGCGACGCCCTAGACTCGTTAGTGGAGTAAGCAAGGTACGGTCCGGCATATTAGATAGTACCAGGGTACGTTCCGGTATACCGGACCGTACCCATGGTACGTTCCGGCAGTACCCCGGGGGACATAGACCCTCTCAGCCCAGGCAATGCGCGTGCGCGCGTGTGAAAACCAACGAACCTGTCCGACCCCTCCTGTCTGTAGAACACGGAGTAGGTGAGCACGGGTCCATACGTGTTCGTCGGCACTCTCCACGTCAGCTTGACGAAGCGCGACGACAGAACAACGGCGGAGAGATCGCGCGGGGCCGACGGCACAGGTCGCGACCCCGGGATGACCCCTGCATAATCAGTTAGATTCGAGTTGGGCATTTGCGCTGAGCGGGCGCCACCGCTGCCGCTGCTGCGCGGGTGCGTGCTCGTGTCTGTGAGGGAGCAAAGAAAACAGAAAACACACCAAACTAAACACAGGCAGAAACAAAATCATACGCATGCGTGGCGAACTAGCTCTAACAGTGCATCTCGGCCTTCAGTAATAAAAGGGGGTGGGATTGGGGGTGGGGTTAGCAGTCGGTGGGGTTAGGGGTAGGGTTGGGGGTTGGGTCGGGAGTGAAACAAAGCATTCGTGACTGGAGAGCAAACAGGAGTGTGAATAATCAATCAATCAATCAATCGGGAAAATAGAAAATGCTCGAGACGTAGGATGTACTGCTATATGCATCGTATATGGTAATATTTAGCAATAATGAAATTTCGATTCATGATGCAGTGAGGATATTAGCTGATATCGTAAGGGTGGGAGAGAGATAGCACGTGGAAGGGAGTTAGCGGGTGAAACTATGAGAAGGGAACAGGGTGCTACAGCCATACTTAACTAAAGTAAAAGACACAATATTTCAATATAAGTATACAATGACAATAGATTGCGCATGTACACTATATCAAATACGTGCCCCGAACTACAGTCTGGCGTTCGTAAATAATAATAAAGAAAACGAAAAAATCAAATGAGGAACTATCTTGCATAGATACATAGCGACCATACATCGTGTGTATCAGTGCAGCTTAAATCAGGACATGCACAATTAAATAAATATCCATTCTCATGCGATAAAGTGGCGTATTAAACAAAATTACGAGCATGCACGTGTGCGCCGAATCTGCAATAAATGTTTCACAATAATTCAGCCAATTTTCGCAGTATATTTACACCCATGAACGAACAACGATGGCAAAGTTCCATCAAAATTTCTCATTATATCACTGAAACAGAATATTTCGAATATTCGCATTATTTGTTAGAAAACATGAAAGTCAGGATGCAATGCCGCATTATTATTCCTCGAATAATGTTCAGATTCTGTCAATAGTTTTAAAAGCACATAAAACGAAAGCAATGTGACGTTACACATTCAAATTGCACGCACGCACGCACGCACGCACGCACGCACGCACGCACGCACACAGGCACACACACACACAATTATGCAAATAACATAGAGGAACGGAGGCACAATAATATAACAATATCAGGAGTGGATAATAGAGATCTCTATGATCCACTTCTGACAATATCATATGCAATTAACATGATGGAGGCACGGAGGCATAACAATATAACAATATCATATGCAATTAACATGATGATGGAGACAGGATGCGGCACTCACCCAGGTTTCGTGTACTTCTGGCGCGTGTAGCAACGCCGCCACAGCACGAGCGAGAGCACGAGCACGGCAATGAAGATGACGCCGGCCACACACGCGATGATGATCCACAGCGTGTTGCGCGACAGCCCGCCGATCGTATCTGCAGCGAGGACAGAGGGCGCCACGAGGTTATACGCGATGCATGGTGGTCGCGATCACAGATGGCGCTACGACGTTATGCGCGATACTGTCCGATTATTAACATAGATGGCGCTACGACGTTATGCGCAATACTGTTCGATTATTAACATAGATGGCGCTACGACGTTATGCGCGATACTGTCCGATTATTAACATAGATGGCGCTACGACGTTATGCGCGATACTGTCCGATTATTAACATAGATGGCGCTACGACGTTATGCGCGATACTGT